ACGATGGCACTATAGGATGGCGAATAGAAGGAAGACACGTCAATGACCTCATCAGATATGTGCTAGCTATGGGTCATATGTGTCATTGTTTGATCAGAGCGCGTCAATTGAGTCTCGCGCATTCGTGTGGTGTTATCTCACACCTATCATTGTATAGCCCAGTCAGGTCAGATGTGTTGTTCGGGAGGGATATGCATATGGAATCGGGCCCAATCTTAGCCCTTCCCGTCTCGTGTGATTCAACTATCGACACATCTTGGGATGCAGAGTTAACTGCATAGCGGCGTAATCACTTCAGGTTGACCTTGTATACATTGCGTTGTTCCTCGGTCCAACATCCGAGCTACATGCTACGATTGGTAAACTGACTTTTGCAGAACTAGATATATTAGCCTACATTCATGCTTCGGTTATTAGAATACCACTTCCAAGTTAACCGTTCATCATTCAAGTCTGTTTCTTACTTCGGTTTCTTACAGGTCATATATATCTTCGAATAGCAAACTGTGGAAATAACACCAGAGCAATGGTCTCTTCATCTAGATCTTCATCGGCTGGCTCGACGAGATCTATATCAACATGGACAAGCAACTCAAATGCTCTTGACCTTCCAATAACCACGCATCCTTCAATACTCAAAGAGCGGAGATACATCGAAGGAAATATCATTCCAGGTAGCAACCTGACTGATCGAGTCCAATTCCACGCGCACGCGAAGAAGGATATTGTCATCAACAACCATTCAGCAACTAAAAAGTGGGCATAGAACCTTTAGTCTCTGGTTTCCATGTTGCACATTGATTATGGATTGTTTCAACTCTACATTTCCAGCATACTGGAACGTAACAGGGTTTTGAGATACACACCACACTTGATATAACATTTGATTTAGGCTTTGCGTCTGTGATGGCCATTTCCTACATGAATCATAGATAGTGTCGCAGAGAACAAACTATTTTAAATTTATTTTCAAAACTTATGATGACTTTTTGTCACTTAAGTGACGAAAGAGGGATTGGTATCACTCTCATTTCAAGATAGCCTGTCTTTCAATCAACATTTCTGCTCTTATCTTACTGCTCTAATAAGCATCCTTTCATTCGGTAACATTTCATCTCAACAGTATGATGTCTCTAGTTGTGATCGTGCCTGTTGTCTACATCAATCGCTGTGAGGTCTGAGTTCACTGAACATAAATCGAAGGGTTTGCCGTCGAAGCAAGGGGTTACAGTCATGTCGTATCACATCGAAACCTGCTTCGTGATGGTCTTCCTCAGCAATTGGGAATTGACTATGCTAGCTCTACACATCTATCTTGAATAATCCAGGTCATCGTTCGCGGTCGTGTCATGAGTCCACTGGTCTGTACCAGCACATTCAAGAGCACCATCCCCTAAAACCCTGCCTAAGCGAGCAACCTGACCCTGGAACCATCTTCTCTGTCCTGGGTCAAGGTCACCAATATTTGAAGCCATTGATAGAGGCCAGACTGTCAAAAGAGCAAAAGCTGGCCGAATTTCTTCATCTTCGTTTATGGTGATTACAGATCTGTTAGATGGCAAGTCTACAGCTTCCATCTTGACCCTACCAAGGCAAAAGGGAATAGCTGCTACTAGACGATTTGCCGTGTCTCTGAGCTGAATGATGCAATTGTCTTGCTCATTCTGATAGTTAGTGTCAAGAGATGATATGAATTGAAGTAGCCTTATACGAGTGCTGCTGATAAGCATCTGTGTAACGAAATATTGAATCCAGACTGCGGTATAGCCAACTTGTGCAAAAGAGTAGACCGTGGGGGAATAGAAATCTTCATTGGGCCAGTCATGAGTTGTTTGGAGGTGATGTGAATCGTAAGACCATGTTTTAGGGATTTGCATAGACCACTCTTGACATGTCTGATTCAGATCTCGGGCTTGATCTAAAAGCTCTTCGATATGTGTCGGTTGCAGGTTTCGTCTTAGCTCAAGACAATGAAGCGAGTAACGAAGGTTGACCAATCGAAATAGTATATCATCAAAGCCAAGATCTAGGCCATGTTCTCCGAATCGGCTACCATCCCGGATCCAGTCTGATAGCGGTCGTGTTCTGAGAAGTGCAGAGCGAATTAATGCTCGTCTAGCTTGTTTGATGATGCTAGATGGAGGATTTCCTCTCAGATTATCATTCCAAGCCTTCAAAGTTGCTACTGCTCCATCGTGATGCGACCAGCTATGCCGTGACCCGAAAGAAGCTTCACTTGCTGAATTCGCAGATTCGTGCATGACGGTCTCATACCATGCCATGAGAGCGATTGTCAGCAGACATTCATCAATGCCTTCTCCATCGGCTGTCAGGATTCGTGCTTGTGAGATTTCGTTTTGCGCGATATGTAGAAGACGGCCATATCTTGAAAATGCTTCCTTAGTAGCAGGTTGGTGATGCTGGGTACGAGAGAAAATGCCAAGTGCTAAAGAAGAGATGGCAAAGTCTACCATGGTGCTCTCTTTTTTAGATGAGATCCATGCAACAAGACATTCAGACATGCATGCTGAGATTGTTGGAACATCTTCTACTGCATAAAGGTAGTAATTGAGAAAATATGCCACAGCTCGTGACGGCAAGTCGGTCTTTGGGTAATGTCGACTTAGGCTTGAACGAGGTCCTCTAGGTCGCTTGATTTTCCCAGCTGCGTAGGTATTCTCTAGGTGAAACGAGAAGTCTCCCTGCTTGATTGAATGATTCTCGAAGCAGACTCGTCGGGATTTCGTACATCTTTGGCAGGTTGGTTTTGCTCCGTCGCACTATATGAACAGGGGCATCAGCTACTGGGAGGAAAAGCCGAAAGCTCTTACCTTGATTCGTCGATTTTTGCATGTTTGACATCCTCTTTTAGGATTTGACATATTGGCACATATAAAACATATACTAGTGATCAAGATCTGACTCAATGAGATCCGTTTGAGTGAAGAGAGAACAGCTTGGAGAAAGGTGATGTTAGCAAAATTGGTCATCTTCGGACTTTTGACTGCTTTACCTCCGCCACTTCGCTTCTTTCCGTTTGCGCCACAATTTACCGATTCGACAGTTGTGGGGAGGATAATGGCGCTAGGCCAGCTTTGGCGAAACCCTCGCGAGGACTATCGCAAGACAGCGTGGGCTATCACCGAACTGGAGTAACCCTACGAGCAGACAAGTTGTTATTACAAATTCCGAACAACTTTCCAGTCATAAAATCAATTCATATATAGCTTTCTACTGACATCTCAATCTCTTTTCAAGTTCGAACATCTTTCTTCACAATTATTTCTTGACGGCCTAGTAGTAAAACAGCAATGTCGAATCCCAACAGAACAGTCCTTATAACTGGATGCTCAGATGGCGGTCTGGGTGCTGCTCTTGCAATTGCCTTTCATCAAGCTGGCCTACATGTTTATGCCACAGCTCGGAACGTTACCAGAATGACACAAATGACGGCTCTTGGCATACAAACCATTCAATTAGATGTCCTATCCGAAGCCTCAATTGCCGCCTGTGTTAGTCAGGTACCTAGTCTCGACATTTTGGTCAACAATGCCGGCTCGTCATTCAGCATGCCTATATCCGACCTCTCTATTCCTGACGCCAAGAAGATATTCGATCTCAATGTATGGGCCTACCTTGCAGTCACCCAGGCCTTTCTGCCGCATCTGTTAAAGTCAAAAGGGATGATCGTCAACCAGACCTCGGTTACATCCTGTACCACAATCCCATTTCAGTCTGCATACAATGCATCAAAAGCTGCAATGGCAATGTTTTCAGACACTGAACGATTGGAATTGGAGCCCTTTGGAATCAAAGTTGTTGAATTAAAGACGGGGGTTGTTTCGTCAAATCTCATCAAGAACCAAAAGGAACAAACCAGCATCACACTACCAAAAGGCTCGATTTATGAGCCAGCCAGAGAAGCTGTAGAAAAGACTTTACGATTTGATACATTTGAGGGGACAGGCACACCAGCAAAGCAGTGGGCAGCAGAAGTTGTCCAGGATTTGTTAAAGAAAAAGCCGCCACTGATTATCTGGAGAGGAACGCATGCACTTTTTGGACGAATAGGAAACGTTTTTCCGCATGGAATGTTTGATGGGACCATGAAGAAAACGACTCGGCTTGACATTGTGGAGCAAAAGGTGCGCAAGTGAAGAACATTGCTGCATGTAACCTCGGGGTCGGGCAAATATATGTACTAAATCTATTTTCGCGTTGTTCTAACATTCACCTAGGCACAACAAGAATGACTCCAAATTGTTAAATTAACCTACTTCGTCAACTAGGATACTTAAATTATAACGCCATACTCCTTCTGCACAGTAGAATCTGGGAGACCGGGGTCATCGAGATACCTCCAATCAAAAAGGCCTAGGCCAGATATCAGTCATATATTGTATAAACAAATCCATCTTCATATTAACCTGTAAGATCGGGGTCTACCGAAGTCAATTGAGAAATGTCCAGGATGCCAGACAATCTAATTTGTTGGAGCAGATGTACCACTAACTCCAGACCCAGATGGTACTTGCAGCCCGCCTGCATGAGACACTCGTGAAGAACCCTCTGCGTTTGGAATGTGACCTTGTGTGCTGGGATATTGCTGTACATTGGGATAGATGCTCTGCGTCTGTCCTTGCATGGATTGACCGTGCATAGACAGCATAGACGGATTGTATTGCATTCCCATGTTTTGATTTCCCTGACTTTGACCTTGGTAACTAAGTCCCACTTGACTTTGTTGAGGTTGGTGGACTGGGTAAAATCTAGGATTCATCTGTCCCTGTTGACTTTGCGAATGTGGAAATCCTTGTTGACCTTCATACACGCCACTGCTAGTCATGTTAATCGGTCCTGAATACTGTCCCGGTTGGTGTTGTCCATACATAGACCCCATCATCTGGCCACCTGGAGCAGCAGGATAGCCTTGATTCACTAGAGGCTGGAATGGATCGCTCTGAGATGTGTAATCCGAATTTGAATTTGGATGTTTGCCATCACTGGCACTTCGTCTTGAATCCTCTCGTCTTACCGAGAATCTGCTGGGCGTGTTCTGATAGGGTGTATCCGTTCTAGCTCGGAAATGATAGTCGATCGCTCTACGATCTCCCTTTGTGCCATGAATATCGCCTAGATACTTGGCAAAGTCGAGATAAGCCCTTTGCACAACCGTGAAGTGCTTTAACTGTAGCGCAACAGCCAAATCCTTATCTACCGTAGCTTCTGTGTTGCCACCATGAGTGTCAAACTCAGCCAATGCTAAGGCAGTCTGGCATGCATTCCGGATTTGTCGTCCATTCCATCTGCTATATATGTTATCTCGAAAGTGCTGTTCAGCAAAGTTTTCAATGGATGAGACATCATAGATAATCTTTCGACCCTGGCGATCAAATCGCTCTTGAATCAGGTTAAGATTAAGCTTGAAGATCTTTTTGGTCTTTGCTTCATCAAGCTCAGGATAATGGAGACTCATGTGAATTCGGGACGCAAATGCCTCATCAAAATCTCCAATGCGGTTAGTTGTTAGAAATAGAATCCCTGCATAATATTCTAATACGCGAAGAAAAACTTGCATCTCGTTAGAAGTGGTCATTCAATGGTATCAACTAAAGCCTTACCTGCTACTAGACCGTTACGCTCAAAGTCTTTCCGCTCCCGAGCAGATAGGAAGACATCGGCTTCATCTAGAAGTAGAATGCAGCCCCATCTACTTGCCAATGCAAAATTCTTTTCTAGCTCGGCTTCAACATCACGAGCAGTCGTTCCGAGATCACCTTACTACCCATTAGCACGTAATTTCTTGACAGAGAATCCTGACTGACCACATGTGATTTGGAATAGAGGCTTTTGAAACAACTCTGCCACTCCCTCTATTCACAATTTAGCTATTTGTCATATCATTGCTACAAGGCAATCATACCAGCGGTAGTTGTTTTTCCAACTCCAGGTGCACCATGCAGAAGTAGGATCAATCCCTTGCCTATATAATGTCAATAATTCGATGGGAAATCAGACAACTCACCCTTTCCTCGGATGAGATCTGTTTGTTCATCATTTGCAAATGAGGTTTGTTTGTCACGGAAATGTTGCGTGACCAATGATTTAACCATCTCTCGATGACCTTCTGGTAATTCGAGCCTTTCGAAAGCGTTACGGGTCGACTCCCTCACGTCTCTGTTCTCATACTTCAAGAAAGTAAGATCCAGTTTTGCTATTACTCAGGGTCAACCAAGATACTTGAAACCATTGTGACTCTCAACTAGGAGGTCAACCGTTGCCAACACAATGCATAAAGGCATGGAACTGAGGGACTCACCCCACTTTCGACTTCGTAACACAAAGCCAAACACCCGATGCGTCATGACTATTAGTTCATCCTCCGTCGGTTGGTTTTCAGAACCAATGAGCGTCTCTTCCAACGGCCGGGGCGATAGTATTAGTGACGGCGCCCTCAAAGATTTGTCGGGTATTAAGCTCTTGACAAACTCTTCTGTAAGCCTTGAGTCTATATATTCACCTTCATGAATGCACTGATTGATGCAGCAGGCAGCCATGCACGTATCGAAAAACCCCTCATCTGGGACAGTCCTAAGAGACTCGATCGTTGGAGCCCAGCCTTTTCTTTTTTCATCTGCCAACGCTTCAGTGAAGTCAATAACGACCTGACTATCAATATCGTCTCTAGTGTCCAAAGTAAAGCCCATGTAATACATAGGCTTGAACTTGGCCACATCAAGAAGCACTTTGCTTCTTTTGATAAGGGTTTGCCGTAGCTGAGTGTCCTTGGCTAGACGGAGTGGATAGATAGGCAAGGATTTGATATCCTTCTGTCCGGCATATGGTAGAATCTCAAACTTGTCCGAAACCGGACCAAATTGTGTTCCGTTAAAGTCAATATAGGCGCAATGAATCTTGACTGGCGCTTCATCTTCGTTTTCATCCTCACTGTCGCTAGCTGACCTCTTTCTTTTATGCCACCGCAACCAAGGATCCTCCACTCTATGTCTTGGGATCTGAACACGAATGACTCGGTATGCTTGTTTCTCAGTATGATCGACTACCTCTGATCCAGGTTTGAACAGGTGCCATAAATCATGAAAAAGAATTTTTCGACAACTATCGCTGTTGATATGTTCTATTTTGGGTTTGATCTCGTCGTCAATGAACCTCATTAAACACCGTAAATGAAGTAAGGCTGTGATGGAAGTTGATGCATCTTGGTCTTCGCTCTTCTCCTCGCTTTTGCTTTTAGCAGAGCTTGCATCTGGTGGTGTATCCTCCACCGCGTCACTTGTGTTCTCTGATAGGGACTTTACTTCATCTTGTGCAAGTTGACCGCCTCTGCGGAAATTACCCCATCATTATCGGCAGATGAATTCAGGGACGTTTTGGTACCTGTACCGTCATAATCTTTGTAACGCTTCTCCAAGGAATCTAGACAAGCTCTTAAGTCATTCTCGAAGTATATCAACACTGTGTACGGGCGAAGAAACACCATGGTATTATCTGTTGCAACGGACCACGGGCGTTCCCGGCCAAGGTGGCGCCTGAATATGTTGACGAGCGCGGCCGAATGTATTCTGATTCTTTCGGGAAGCGGGCCCTGTCCTCGAGATACCTCGGTTCCCATTACTGTATCTTGAGGACGACCACTCGGAGGTTTCGGTTTTGCTTTTGTATTGTTTATGGAACGGGAGATGAGCTGTAGAATGACCTGTGGCTCAGGCTCTCCTATTACAGCCTCGATCGGTGTTAGAACAGACTCCTCTAGCTTTCCTTTCATCCAAACAAATGTTTCCCAGTCGACCCAGACCGTTCTTGCAGGCTCGCCACGTAGAAATGCCTCTGTGCTGATTTTCTTGATTGATTCTAACTCGGGTTTGCCTGCAAGATCTTCTTCGGCTTTTTTCTTGGCTGCTGCTTTGTTCTTTTTCCGTTGGGCCTTCATTCGCTGGAGGTTTTTGTGCGCAACCCTTGCATTCCTCAAAAAGTACATTGTGTTCTGTATAAAGTGTCTAGATCCAGTTTGATCTACTATTCCGAACACAGAATCGTCCGAGTCGGAATCATGGTCGAGATGCTCTGGTAGTTTTTCAGGTGCTTGATCTGTTGGCTGCTGAAAACCAAGAAATCCATTGACCAGATTGATCTGTGATTCAACCTCGGCGAATCGCTTGTGAAGTTCCTGGAGGTCAGCGACATCATTAGGAATATCTGAAGTATCTTGTTTTTGCGTCGATTGTTTGGCGACGTCGACAAGTGCATCATCGGTATTTGTCGCCATACTTGAATCTGTCGCCAGGGTCGACTTAGCGGGTTGGACAATATCCGTTTTTATTCTGTCGACTCCTACGCCTTCCATCATTTCTATTGTATGTTGGCGGCAAATGTGCAGATTCAGAGTCAAAACTAGGGAGAAAAGCTTTTGTTATGTATTCAACATTGAATGAGATGATGTAGGATTGAAATGATTCAAAACCCAAATGGACACTCGCAATCCATTCAGCTCAGACTCCTCGTCTTTCAGGCTCCCAAATGTTTGCTATTCCGGACACTACTCCGCATGCCTGCTTTCAGCTAATACTTGTTACTGGGTCGCTTTTGTAGTGAACCGCCTGTCATAGCGCCCCTTTTGCGTGATAAGCAGGATGACTGGAGCAGGCTTGCAGCTTTTGGTAACACTGCATGACACTAACTCGATTCTGACAAATAATCAGCTCATGATAAGATGGCAGATTGCATTGTGGTTGCTTCGGCGGCAAAATGTGCTCCGTGGCACTGACATGCATTCGCTCGAGTGGGGGCGGAATTTGTGAGTGAGGCTTAGAGCCTCGTTGTCTGATCCTACAAACTTGTCGTCCAAACTCTACACAAGCGAGGATTTGTAGGTCAAGACGCGGCTTTAAAGATCCTGGTTCATTCGATATTTGATTCTGATCATCTTAGCTATGCAGAGGCAATGACTTCAAGGTCCGATCAGCAGCTTTCGGGTGAGTCTCTTCAGACATTCAGGCTTATCTCGCCAGCGGTAGACTTTATCGAAAATAGGATGCCTCAATACCATGAAGCGTTTGACACTCGTGGCTTTCGCTACAGTCCCGATCAGAACCAGTTTGTTGCACTTGCTACATCCACAGCCATGTCGCGTTCGGCAAACCTTCTCTCAGCATCACAAATTTCATCACCACCGGCAAGACCATCCCCTAGCTCTATCAATGACATGAGCTTTTGGAGCGAGGTGCTTCCTCAAGCTATGAAGCGGCTGAACGAAGAACCACTACCAAAAGGTGGATATCATTCTGAATGGGGCATACGGCATTCGTCGACGTGGCATGACATCCAGGCGAAGCTTGACATTGCTCGTCGAGAGTATGAGTTCCGTCACAGTCCAGAGTTAATAGGAAAGTTGAGAAGAAAGCTACGTGAAGGTTCAGACCAAGTTATCGTACCCCTCCAGCAAGGGGTTCAACTCATCCCAAATATGGACATGACGTCGCCGGTAATTGGTGTAATGAAGTTGGTATTGGGGGTGAGTCAGACTGTATAGCTGATTTGGCGTTATATTGACGTGTCAAGGCATATCAACAGGCCTCCAAAATTCGAGAGGTGGCAGGCTCTGGATTTGACAATTTACCAGACACCTTTGCAAAAATAAACTTCTATATCGGATCCTATGTAGAAGACCAGAACATTATGACAGCCTCCGTCGATCTTGTTTTAACAATATTTAAGGCAATTGAAGAAACGGTCAAATTTTATACAAGCAACCAAGGTACGAGCAACCAAACCCAAGACTACAACCATCAGTACTACTATCCTTATACAAAGTGCTGACATATGTAGCTAAACGTGCTGGCCTTGCTATTCTAACAGGCCAAGAATATCAATCAAACTTACATCAGAGTCTCATAAATATCAAAAAATGCTCTGATGCATTAGAACATCAAGCTAGAATGTCGTTTGAGCATCGCATAATATCAGGTACGTACTTTCAGTAACACAGTGAGAACATGGCATGAGAAGCTAATTAGTAAGATGGGAATCAAAACCGTGCATCGCAAGCGGCATTGCTGCAAGATAACTGGGTAACCCATCAAGCCCTTGGTATACTTCTTCAAAAACATCAGCAAACCCAGAATATCCTGAACATTGTGTTCGCCCTTTTCAAAGATAAGGAGAGTATGTTGGAATGTTTGTTTTCAACAATAAGTACTGCGCTGATAGTGGATAGAAAACTGGCCACCTCGTTCTCCGGTTCCTTCTAGATCTGTGACGCCCGTGTCAGGACGTCTACCACATTGGACGCCGCGAGAACTGTGGTCAAGACTCCGCATACCTAATATTGATGAAGAAGATCTATACAATGTCTCCAATAGGGCCGGCCAGATTTTGTATGAAGATCGTGGTCGGGCAGAACAAGTGGTAGGAACCACAGAATTCCGTAATTGGTTTCTCAACCCGGATTCCACTAAACTGCTCATACATGGAGACTTTGATACCATGGACGAGGTGTCTCCTTTCTCTTTATTGTGTGCAACGCTTCTTCATACATTCCGATTAACTCAGGAAGTCATCGGTCTGGTTTTCTTTTGTGGGTGTCACATAATTCGGGATGAATATTTTGGAGGCGCTGTCATGATTCGCAGTCTCATTGCACAGTTGCTCCGACAGTTCCCGTTCGCTACAATCGAAGGCGACTTTGGGAGTATCACTGACCCGGATAATGTAGATCAACTTTCCCAACTTTTTGTACAGTTGATACGACGCCTGCCTTCAAACATGACGGTCTTCTGTCTAATTGATGGAATAAACGAGTACGAACGGGAGGAGTATCTACATGGCATGGATGATGTCATTTATTCATTGTTGGATCTGGTAGTTGAAGCCAATCAGTCAAGAAGAGCGAAGCTGAAATTGCTGCTTACCAGTCCCCGGCCGACCGTGGAGGTCAGAAAGGAATTCGATCAAGATCCTGCTACACTTCTTCACATGTCACAATTGCCGGATATTGATGGAACTGGCAGTTTCGCACGATTTGCGGAACATCTGGACAGTGTCGACAATAATAGAAGCGTAGAATATGGGAACAATGGATAAATATCAGTCATTG